AATGCATCTCCCTCTCTTGCAGGACATGATCAATGCTCGTGGCTATTGCCTCACAGCAGGCAGGGGAAGGAGGCAAAGCAGAGATTATTGCTTCCATCGTACAGCTGAAAAAATTGAGATTTAGAGAATTTGAGGAAACCCCCGGAAGCCCCCAGGAAGTTAGTGGGCAGGCAGGGACTCAAACTCAGGGCCCTGCATATCTATCATGGCCTGCTCCATCAGGAAACGATTTTAGAAACAGTCCAAACATGATAGGTAGGTGTCTCAGGGGGCAGTGTGACACTGCATGACTCACCTCTCTGTGGGTGGATCTCCCTGCTGTGAATTAGGAGAGACAAACAAGGTAAGTTTTAAGTCTCAGGGGCTTTTTGTTCTCATAGGTTGGTTCCATCTCTACCATTGTGGACCAGACTGTGGGCATCGTAGAAGGTGGGACAGTGTTTGAGGTCCCCATGTGTCCCCGGGTCTCCTCTAGTCCCATCCCATTCCTGGTCTCAGGAAACTCCTCTAAACATCATATTTCAACCGGCAAGAAGAGAAGGTCCTTGAGGGATAAGACCAAGTCTGTTCCATCTTTTCTCTTCCCACTGTTCATGAAGTGGGCAATGAACCCCAAAGCTTCCATTGGCTTAACCTGTGTTTCCATCCCTCTCCTTCTGGTTTCTTTGAAGAACTTCTCCCCACTCCATGCAGTCCTAGTAGAGCCACCATCATATGATCCCACCAAGCAGTGGGCAGGGAGTCTATTCTGACCCATCAGAATATCCTCATTACCCTGACCACAGTGACTGAGGAATAGACTTGGGACCTAAGCAAGGCCAATCAAGGTCTCTTCCCTAGGATCAGCATATAGAGGTTGGGAAAAAATGTGGTGATGCTAGGATTACTGAGCGGAGACCACGCAGACCTGGAGTTCCTACCCACCATCTTCCATTGGACAGGAGAGAAACCACCAGAAGAATGATGCAGATATCCAGCACCAGTTCTCACTTTTAAGACCCTAAAGTCCCTTTTTCACTTAGGCTAAGTTGAGTTGAGCTTCTGTCACTTACAATCGAGAGTCCCTGACAGGTAAGGTCAGTTTCATCTAGGGCAGATCATGGGTTATGTTACTATACTCACTCTTCAGCCTTCCAGTTCTGGGTCTTTGGCCCAAGCCCCGACAATAATCCCTCCCCTTAGTCTCAGCATCCCAGAGAGGAGCACAATCCCTTCTGACCCAGACTTCCACAGCTCAGTGTTGTGTTAGTCATATCCTCTGCAACAGATGCCAAAGATGAGAGTTCAAAGTGCAAGAAACTTACTTACTGCAAGAAACTTACTGGTGATGCCTCTGAGTGTGAAGGGCATACGGGGAAGAAAAAGCAAGGGAGAGCCTTCAGACCATGCCAAAGGTATGACATCCATGAAAGGAAGAGAGGAAGAAAGGAGGATGGGGTAGAAAGGATTTCAGGAGGTTGTGGTAGGGCACTGAGAAGGTCTCAGCCAGCCTAGTGGGGGAGCTCTGGCACAAAGATGGTTCACAGAGGGGTCCCACCTCAGGCAGAGATGCTGACTCCTTGTGCATACTATGCTCAGCTGAGGGCTGTTCCAGAGGCACATGGCCTCAGGTCAGAAGCTGTATCCTGGAGGAATCCACAACTCACTGAACTTCCTGATACAGGATCCTTCCTGAAGGGAGATCTAGGTGGCATACTCCATGGTTGATACAGTGTCTCTGTACCTACTCATTCTAGTAACAGCCCATAGGAAATTTTAGGGCAAGATTCAAAACCAAGCCTTCTGCTTCCTGAGTCTGTGTTTTTTTTCAATGCTAATCTTCATACATTAGTGACAGCAAGGAGTAGATAAGGATTGTCCTAATGCCAACTCCTATTGCCTGGACTCTGTGTTGAGAAGGATTCTGAGGCTGCTTCTAAGTTCTGCAGGATGGTTCATGATTGATTCTTGATACCTACCATGGGTAGGAAGGGGGTGAGTGTGCATATGTGTGCCAAGTACTTGCTATCCTTATAATAGGAACAAATGACTATTGAATGAATGAATTCAAATCCCAGGACACTCTGTTTGAATTAGGCAACTCTCTTCCCTAAAGTGAAACTGTTTCTGGGGGAGATGTCCTGGCACCTGGCCCTGGGAATCACAGAATCATAGGGACAACTGCCATTTGCTGGGGACCTCCTATATGCCAGGCACTAAGTTAGGCTCTTTCAATCATCACTTCATTGGATTCTCACAAAAACCTCATGAGGAGAGGATTAGAGCCTCCAATTTATGCTGAGGCAGTTGTGGTCCCAAAAGAGGAGGGATCTGTGCAAGGTCATGCAGCAGATGGGTAGCCAAGACTCATTTCCACCACTCTTTCCCATTTTCTCCACTCCACCACGTGTAAGACCAATGCTGGGTTTCATTATTTCTCTGAATCTAGTGTAGCAAGTGGAGCATGATTTAGTTAATCATTTGTCAAAGAGGGAGGAAATACATTGAACAGTCCTTGGAAAATCCTCTGGAAAGTCCCTGAGAGATGAACCAAATCCAATCCAGGAGTTCAGCCTGTGTGGTTGGAGACTGATTTCACAATCATTGGTCCCTCACATAAACAACATCATTTTATGTGTCATATATTAATTCTGTGTACCAGACACAGTGCAAAGCATTTCACACTCATTAACTTATTTAATCCCCACCAGAGTCCCATGAGGAAGTAAGTATTATTCTGTCTTACAAAGGCCAGATCTGAGGCTTGGAAAGGTGAAGTTCCCTGAGGTCACACACAGTATGGAACCAAACCATACAAGGATATAGGTATGCATGTGGACATTTTTGGTTGCATGTAGAGTAGTATCATGTCTGTAGAGAGTATTTTTGGGAGAGCGTGCATGGGAGTAAAGGTGCAAAGGATGTTGAGAGCCCCAGGGGATGGACTGTAATGAGCACCATTGTTTATAAGCTCTTTCAGATCCATACTCACCCTTCTCTGGGAACCTAATTTCCCTTTAGGTAACCAACCAGTCCCGAAAGGTTCAGTGTTATGGGACCTGGGGCATGTGACCCAATTAGAATCTCTCATTTAAGTCTTTGAATCTAGAAAAGAGTGACACATGGCTTGGGATTCATTTAGGTAGCACAGGAAGGTGGCGAATAACATAATTTCTGGAAATGAATAGCTTTGTGTAATTTCAGCCTCCACAATTAGTAGCAATCCCACATTAGGCAAGCTACTTGACCTCTCTGGGCCTTGGTTTTTTCACCTGTAAAATAAGGACAATCATAGAATCTACCTTATAACTGTTACACACTAAGAGAAGTACTTGACACATAGAAAGTTCTACTTTGGCATGTTTGTCTGTCTTGATGTATTGCCATCAGTCTTCAAGGGTTCCCAAAGGAGACCCCTAGAGCACCTCGTTTAGTTCCTCTGCTTTCCAGAGGATGGGCCCCCAGTCTTCTAGTTGATTCTGTGAGCTCCCGATACTCTACCAATCCATTATTTCTCTGCTAAACTAACTCAGTCTCTGTTGCCTACAACCCCAGAACACTGGGTACCATGTCAATTCTGTCTCACTGCAAAACTGGGACTCTGGAGGCCCGAGCTGTGATCTCCCCAATTCCCAGTGAAATTCTACACCTGACATCAACAAGTCTGTTCTCTCCCAAATTCATGTCTGGAGCAGTGATGCCAAAACAGACTGTTCCTGCAGGTTGGAGACACTTAACTGATCGCTGAATACATGCTAGGGAGGGATCCTTTGGGCTGTGTGGCATGATAAAACTATTTGGGATTATTAGTTCCAAATTAACAATGAGCACATGGGAGGTCCAGGGATATGAAGGGACTTGCTATAAGTTACACAGCAAGATGGGATGGTTCCTAGCTCAGGTTCTCTCTGCTAAAAGACTGGTTAACCTATGTGAGGTGGGAGATGGGAGATGGGGTGTGAATAAGGCTTGGACTTTGAACTTGAGCCCTCATTACTCCACTTGTTTTTTTTTCAGTTCTTCACTGATTCCCAGTTTCTTTAAGCTTAATGGTACCTCAGGGCTTTTGCACATGCTGTTCCTTCTGCCTGGAATTCTGTTTCTTCCCCACCCCCACCCCTCCCCCTCCCCTCACCTAATCCTTTTCCCTTTTTTTAGATCAAGGCTTCTCTAACCCTTCCTAGACCACCAGCTCCAAGTTGGTCCCCCTACATTTCCCAATGTCCACATTTGTCTGTTGCCTTAGCAGCTACCATACTCAATTATTACGCGTTTCTGTTTATGTTTCTTGCCTGTCTTCCCGGCTAGATTATGCATTACCTGAGGGCAGAGGCTCTGACTTCTGGCTCCCTCCCTGGCACAATGTTTGGACAATAAATGGATAAACCCCAGAGTCATCCAACCAGAAATCATCCAGTCTGTAGTCTCCCTCCAGAGCTGAGGAACAATGGCTTGATCAAGGTCACAAAGCTAGTCCTTAAGTGTGAGAGACAAGACCAGCCACCATCGCCTCTAAGCCTTGAACTGGGTCCTCTTGACGATGGGTGGCATGGGCTTCACAGGGGCGGGATGTGGGGACGGATGCCTACTCTCCCCACCAAGTCTAAGAAGCAGGTACCATCAGCATCAGCAGAGCATCATCCCCATTCTACAGATGAGGAAACTGAGGCTTAAGACACTTGGTGACTGGCCCGATCCCCCCAGCTGGGAAGTGGGCGAGGCGGAGACTCAACCCCAGGGCTGAGGCCGCAGCGGGTGCTCGCCTGGGGGGTGCGGGGGACCCGGCGGCGCGCCGCAGAGGGGACGGGGTGGGGCAGGGGACGGGGTGGGGCGGGGGGCGGGCGGCGCGGGCGGGCGGGGCGGCGCGGGGCGGCGCGGGGCGGGGAGGGGAGGGGAGCGGGCGCCGCCACAAAGGGGCCGCCGTCGCGCCGCCCCGTCCCGTCGTCCCGTCCCGTCCCGCGGGGGGAGCAGCGCCCCGACCCGACCCGCCCCGCCCCGCGCCCGCCGCCCCCTCGCCGCGCCCGGCCTCCGGTCTGGTCTCGCCTCGCCGGCTCGGTCGGGCTCTCCCGTGTCCCCGGCCTCCCCTCCCGGCCGCCCCGCTCCCCCGCTCCAGGGCTAGAGCGGCCCGCGCCCCGACAGACGGACCTGCGGACCGACCGAGCGACCCGCGCCGCCGAGCGGAGCAGCCCGTCACCATGGTAACGCCTACCAAGGCCTGGACCACCTCTGTCCCCTTCTGGTGGGGGTGTCCAGGGCGGATCCGCCCGACCTATTATGCTATGACCCTGGGTGCCTCGCCACGGGTCTGTGTTAACTGCCCCCCAGCAGCAGCAGGGGGGGGGGCGGGGGCGGGGGGCGCCCTCTGGCCCTGTGGTCTCTCCACTCGGCCCTGTCTCTCCAGCCGTGAAGGGGATAGTTGACTTGTGAGCTTTGATGTTGCCCCCTGCCAGGCACGGATCAGAGCTGGTACCTATAGCCCTTGGGCCTTAGATGAAACAGGGGGGTGGTGTTGCATTTTAGACTTGAGGCTGAGGATAGGTGTGTCCACTGTCCCCACACAGGGTGGGGATGGGGATGGGGGTTAAAGGCTCTTCCCAGTACTCCGTGGAGAGGAGGGAGTGGCTCATCCAAACTTGGGGTGGTTTCGCCGCTTTTGACTCAAGGCAGGCAAGTGGGATGTGCACATTGTCCTGACATGAGGTGGTCTCGTGGGAAATGGGTGGGGAGGCAGGCCTAAGGGGAGGGGGAGAAGGAGGGCAATACTTCCATACTGTGGCTTCCTCGGCTGGCCCTTCCATAAGGTTGAGATGCGCTGGGAGGTGCCCACGCTCCAGTATCTGGGAACAGGGAATGAAAGAAAAGTCTGTTTTCAGGGAATCCCAGCCCAGATCCGAACAAGCGCAGGAGCCCCAGGCAGATTCACGGGAGCAGAGGGGATTTGGAAAAGTGCTGTGAAGACAGGCCAAGGCTTTAACCCCTTGACTGATTCACCATGTGAATTTGTGTGGGTTTTCACTAGGTGCGCATTCATATGCGGAAGACTTCTGTTTAGATGAGAACACACACATGCAGAGTACACCAAAGCGTGCTCCCATACTCACACGGCTGAACAGACATGCCCTCTGATACACACACACACACACACACACACACACACTCCGCTTATCCACGTGCTCTCCCTACTGCTAAAATATGGGCATACACCCGCACCCACACCAGAGACATATTGCAAAACCAGGCTGCTAGATCCGTACACCAGCAGGACAGGTGTACACACACATTGCTGCCGGAGCTGTTTGAGCTAATGGTTATTCACCTCTCACCACTGGCAGTGCTCTGTGCTGGCCAATTTATGTGCAGGAGCTTGTATAACTCACACCAGCTCTAAAAATAAAGCTGCTGCTATCTCCACCCCACAGATGGGGACCTGAGGCTCTGGGAGCTTCAGTGGCTGCCCAAGGTCACCCAACTGGGAAGTGGGAGATAGGACAGCCTGAATTCTGAGCAGGCACTCAGCTGTCATGACCACTGCAGAACCACACCTGCACCACGTAGTCTTTGCTAAACCTTCCCTAGTTTTGGACCTAACTCAGTTATTCCTTTTAGAATCCAGAAACTCCTTGCTGAACATCAGACCCTCAGATCAAGAGTCAGGCCCTGGGTGGCTCCTGGAAAAGGTTGAATAACTCTTTCCTAAATAGGAACGATGGACAGACTTTTCTCCCACCTTTGTTACCTGCCCACCACTGGCCTCACCTCTGTACTTCAGTCCACTCTGACCTTGGTTCAGAGCCTCTTCTGTTTCATGTTCCCTCCTGACCCAGGGCCTTTGAGTATGTTGTTGCTGCTGGGTGGCACTCCCTCACCTGAAGAATTCCTATCCATCCTGTAAATCTCCACCCAAATACCATGTCCCCAGGAAAGCCTTTCCCAATTTCCCTGACTCCCACTCTAGCATGCCATGGATCTTCCCTCCATGGACCTATCACAGTTACTCTTTTCATGGCGTGATTTGAGTAGAGGCTATTGTAGTGTTCGGGGCAGCCCAGTGTCAGAGCATCTTATGACAAAAGCACTCTGGGCTTATCTGGTTTCATATTCCCGAACTTTTAGTATTATCCTAACAATTTTTGCATTTTCACTGACTGGATAAGGTAATATGAAGAAATAACAAAATCAGAATTATTCAGTTAATATTTTTCTTTTAATCAACTTATTTTATAAACTTAAAGATATATTTAAGACATTTTATATCACCACCATGAAAAATTAGTATCCATCGTTATAAACACAAAGTAACTGTTAAAATGTCTGCAATGAAGGCGAATTTGTGTGTTTGCAAATTCTGGCTGGAGGAGATTGGCTGTGGAGGATCCCAAGGGGGAGGACTGCTTTCTTTTTGTTAAAAGGAATAACCAGGGAGTGTCTGAGAGGTGTTTTAAGTCCTCTCTGGAGATCTAAACAAGAGTTGGGGTGGCTTTCTGTGATTTCCTGTGGAGCGCATGTCATCCTCCCCAGCTCATCTCGTGGGTCACCTGTCATCCTACCTCGCCCTTGGAGAAGAGTTGATTGAATCCAGTCCATCCCACGTTGCCAGAGCACCTGCTTTACAGCGTTCCTCCAAGGCACCTACTGTGTGCCCGGCCCCATGTGAGGACTAAGCCCCGGCTCCTGCCCTGGAGGTTTATACACCCACTTGCCGAGATTTCTGGGCTGGGTGATGAGTGATAGGAGGCCCTCTCTTTGCCTGGAAGCACAAATGTCATGGAAAGAGAAGAGATGCAGGTTGAGAGCGGGGTTCTGAAGGATGGGAAGGAGCTCACCCAGTCCGGGGAGGGGTGCAATGTGAGTTCAGGCAGTACTTCTCAAAGTGGGGCATCTGCCGTGGGTCCTGGGTGGGGAGACTTTAGATGAACATTTTTATTTTATTGTTTTTCATCTTAGTGAGTGGTAGAAAGTGATTTAAGGAGCACAAACACATGATAGTCAATAAAAATCAGTGGATTTGAGTTGGAAATGAATTGACAAAAAGACAAAATCTTGAGTAAATAATAATGAATACCAAGGAAAATAAATTAGGGTGTGTGAGCAGCAAGAAAAATTCATGCATGTGGCGCATGGGTGATTGGCCAGCCCAGGGCTAGAGTGTCAAGTGTGTTAGAAGAAGCAGGAAAGGTACCCCGGTGTAGATTGACGGCCAGTAGCAGCTAGACTGAGTAGTAAGACTGAGTAGGAAGCCACTCGAGGTTGTTGAGCAGTGGAGGGTCACAGTGGCATCTGTGTGCAAAAAGGCCATTGTAGTGGCCAAAGGAGAGGCTGGCCTAGGGAAAGGGCAAGAAAGCTGGTAGTTGTGTGCCAGGTTCATACCCTAGCTCTACCATTTACTAGTGGGAGAGCCTTGGGCTCAGTTTCTTAACTTGTAAAATGGGAATAAAAATACCCATCCCGGGCATCCCGGGTGGCTCAGTGGTTTAGCGCTGCTTTCAGCCCAGGGCCTGATCCTGGAGACCCCGGATCGAGTCCCACATCGGGCTTGTTGCATAGAGCCTGCTTCTCCCTCTGCCTGTGTCTCTGCCTCTCTCCCCCGGCCCCCGCCCGTGTTTCTCATGAATAAATAAATAAAAAATCTTAAAAAAAATACCCATCCCTAGAATTGTTGGGAAGATGGAATAATGTTAATAAAATAGTGGAGAGTGCTTAGGATAAAACCTGATACAGAACCTTGCTCAGTAAGAAGCTCTAGTTATAACTGCTATTATCATAATGTATTTTGGGTGGGTGATGGTGAGCCCCAAAGCAGAGGCAAAGGGGACAGGGAGACAAAAGGACCAACATGAAACTAAGCACGTGGACAGGTGAAGGGACTTGCTCAAGGTCACACAGATGACACATGACAGAGCTGCACTTGATTGTGGGTCTTCTGACACCCACTTGCTTCTCAGCTCACTGCATCTGGGCTGTTTTTCCAGTTTCTGAAAGTGTTTTTTTTTTTCTTCTTTTGAATAAGGAGCCAATTCTCACTCATACCTCCACCCACACAAAAATAAAAAGGATTTCAAGCAGGAGAAGTTTTAGTTGGACACGAGCAACAACTTCCTGGCAGCCAGGGCAATAGAGCACTGGTTTTAGAATCTCCAGCCTGGAGCAGTTCAAGAGGAAGGTCCCAGGTAGTTGAACCTGATGGTCACAAGCTGACATGCACTGGCCTGTATCTGGCCCACAGATGTGTTTGGTCAGGCTAACCTTTAACATATTGGGAGGCTTTACTAAAGTATCAGCAGACCCAGCTGATGTTGGACGAAGGCAGCACTCAGTGGGAGCTGATGAGGTGGGGCATGCTCTACTCCCATCCCGTCCTTGACATTGAGGCTGACTGTTGAGGGCCATTCAGGAAGGGGGCGGAGAGGTTATTTTTCTCCCACTTGACCTACTTCTGTCTTCCAGGTCACCTCTCAGCCCTCCCTGTGGGCATTTGTGTCTGTGGCTGGTGGTTTAGATTTTTCCTGGGCTGAGTTGAGGGATGGATGAGACAGATCTTTTTAAACTTTCCCACCGTTGGAGGGTTAACTGATCCCATTCAGAAACCATGTCTCAGCTCCAAACCTTCCTAAGCCTGATTATACCATGAATTCTAGAATGGCCCTCCTGGAAGCATCCTTCGAGATAGATAGATAAGCCCAATCCTCCCATTTTACAGATGGGGAAATTGAGGCCACAGTCACCCCATGAGTCGAGCGTGGAATCTCCCTTTCCCTAGGCATCCCTGCCATGGAGGAGAGGAAGAGGACACTGCCTACCTCAGTTTTTCTCAGCCTTCTCTCTTCCCAAGCTAGGAGGCACTGATGCTAAGAGGTTCTAAAAGCTTTGTCTGGAGCAAATGGATAAATCTGGGCCTTTAAGAGGAGTTCAGCACACATCTCAGAAAGCCCAGCTAACAACATCTGGTGAGACCATTTAAAAAGGGAACAGGCCTTAAAAACACATACAATCACACTTTTATTTTCCCCCCTTGATTATAAAAGCTACACAAGCTGGTTACCGAATGGTCGGAAAATCCAGCAAACTGTGAAGAAAATGAACTGGGTGATTTCCAAGGACCCTGCCCCGCACAGTGCTCAGGGGCGACCGCAGTGGATGCTTGATTCCATGTCCTCTTGGCCTCCGCACATTTTTACGCGGTGGAGATCACAGGGTCTGG